CATTCAACTTCACATCCCTTCCACGTGACAAGGGTTAAGGCCGCAGCGAGACCGTAAAAGTGAAAGTTACGTCTACGTCAGGTATCACAACGGCGGTGGTAACCTAGGACGATCAAATTGAGTCGTCTGTAAGAATACATCACCCTGGAACCCATCCGCATTGTACATCCCTTATCCGGCCACGTACGTGACAAGAAGCTAAAGTAAAACTTGCGTTTAAGTCGACCGTGATTCACCCCCAATAAAGTGACCTTGCGTCGGAATCCTTCTTTCCCGGCAACAATACTAAATTTCACAATACGTCCAGTGACTTCTCCCGTCTACGTTCTACATTTATACGCGGAAAGAACGGAATCGAATCGCGTCCGTTTCTTCGAATCGAACCGATTTCCTACTTCCGCTCGGCGTTTCTCGACTGATAATACCCTCGAGAGCCAGGCGAACCGTGTATACACGATCGAAGGAAGAGGAGCGCAAGCCAGAAACAGAGACGAGTCTTAACGAAGTGGTCCCGGCCCGGGGGGCCCCCGGACAGAAAAGAACGTTTGATGTCTGACCATGGTTCAGAGGCTTCGTACGCTTGTTATCGAGCGTTTCGAGTAACGACGCGTTCGTTACATCATAATTGGATCACACGCTCACGGCCCTATATATCCCAACCACGTCGAGTCGGCCGCCGGGGCAGCAGCTCCTGTCCCCGGTCCAATCTTCCACTCAGACAACACTCGACTCAATATGTGACAGCAACGCCACCAGCAATTACCTTTTTAACTTCCAATGTATCAGACGACAGAGGCTCGGTCAATTCGCTTAATCGGTGTAGGTGTTGTAACACACACCGGGGAGGACGTTTCTATGGTCGGGTGGCACGTTTTTCGAGAGAGAGAGAGAGTGAAAGAGTGAGCGACAGGACGAGCAAAGGAAACGCGGATGCGAGCCACCTGAAACGTCGAACGTGCCTCGAATTAGAATGCCGGAATAGGGACGGCAGAGGGTGGAAAAGGGCGCGCGCGCGCGCGCGCCAAACATTGGGACAGAGGAGAAGAGAATGTTGTGTAGCGAAAGCAGAAATTTTATCGACGCCCCGGGGGATTTCTTGACTCCGGGAATTGTTTGAACGTAGTGTTTCATTCGGGGATTTCTGTGCGCGACACTTGTGCACTTTGCTACGCGAATTTTGTTATTGTCGAGAGGGGATGGATTTTATAATGGCGTTTCCGGCGAATCTCGCTCCTCGCGTCACGCCCGTGCGTCCGTTCTTCTTTTATTTCGGGGTGTAGGTCGCTGGCTTAAGCGAACCGGTGATGCTATTGTCGTTATTAGATTTATATTCTGAATTATATACGGTTAGCGGAGTACAGTAGAGTTTCTCGTATCTGCAAACCCCAATATACGAATATAGGATCTACAAATATTTGAACAAATTATCAATTTTCTTGATCTCTATTTAAATACACGAAGTTTCGTGTCAGCAAATTGATTGTTTCATTAACCGAAAATTCGTTTATCCGAATAGTTATGTCTCCCTATTAGTTCGGATACGGGAGGCTATTGTATAAGAGAGATATTGAAACGCGTTCACATCATTACTGTTCAAAAACTGTTCAACCTCGTCACTTAATCAACCTCAAATTAGGCTTCATGCCATTGAATTGGTCTGTAATAGCTGTCATTTCGAACAAAGTATGTCAAGTGTAAATATATAATCCAAATCGATCACTTGTTCTCCATTAAAGTAATCACCTTTAAAAAATGTAGGTGTAATAGATACACACATATATATATATATAAAACACACGATTTTGTCATTATTCAAATCTTCCATCCCCTTCCTTTTAAAATTAGTACACGTATACTACAAGTATCATTATTATTTTTCAACTATTTACCAGTTACTCAACCTTTCGCTCTATAAAATCTGCCAATATCCTATTGAAAGTAACAACGAATGAAAATAACGATGAAAAACGCAACGTGGCTCGGAAAAGGGGGTGTGTATGCACCGTCACGAAGGATCCATCGAACGCACTGGCGGGATAACCTAATCCATCGTATCGATTAGGAAATATAACCCAATTTCAGCTAACTGAATTACTCGCGCAAACGGATTAACCCGGCTTGAAGAGGGGCCGCGGCGTTAACGCGCCGAATTGCTGCTTACTCCGTTCTTCCGCCGTGCTTTCATCCCTCCCCTTCCACCCCCCCGTTCCCCACTCCTCTTCTGTTCGTCCGTCGTTCATCTTGTTTTCAGCTACTCTCCCCTCGGTTCATTTGTCCGTTACGTGCAATCAGGAATCCGGTTGTCCGTAGTGAAACACGCTGGTACAGCTGTCTGAAGGTTCTTAACCTAAGCTGTATTTATTTGTCTCTCCTGTCGGGAAAATTCGCCGCCGCCGTGTCTCCTCCCCACGCTGGCGCGCAGCAACGCAATCTCATTAAATCTTTATCCGCGGTGCAGCGCGCCGGTTGATTAGTGCTAGCGCGTTACGGAATTGCGTATTCGATGACAATTAAACGGGAGAGTGAACCACGAACGGTTGAAGGCGAAGAAGTCTCCAGGTCCTCCTGGGATCTGAAAAGAGAAGGTCTTTTCGAATCACGATGATTGTCGAGGAAACCGTCGTTTTTTGGTAAGCGTGTGCCGCAGCTGTGAAATTAAAATTATAGTTTGGTCTCCCTCCCCGTTGGGTAATATAATTACGACGACAGAGAGTCAACGAATATTATGAGAGGATACGTATCGTGGAGCTTTATTTTTTTCTTTCTCGCGGTAAATTGCTCGCGACGGACGGACGGGCAACGAGAAAGATATCTCGGCGGCGAGACGATTCAAACATCGAATAAGATGTCACTGGCCATCGTCCAACTTTTAAGACCCCCATTATTTCGCCATTAAAGTTTCTTTCGTTGGCTGCCGGTTCTTGCGACCGTGGACCGCCGCCGATACTTTTAGTAAATTAATATTCTGCCGCCGTCTGTTCTCAACTTAATGATCCCCGAAGAAAAAGCAATATTTATTGCGCGAGGTGTATTCCTCCCCGCGTTTCTTCTCTCGCTCTCGGTCGGCTAAGCAACGACGCCGGGACTTCTGCCAGCGATGTTTTCCTTTTTTTTTTTATCCTTCCTCCCTCTTCCTCTCACTTTCTTCGGCCCCTCTCTTCTCTTCGTCGTTTTTTCCTCTTCGTCTCCTCTCTTTGCGTCGTGTCTGATTGCTTCCTGCCCGAGGAAATATGAGCGGACGTTTATAGGATCGCGAAAGCGGCCGAGAGCGGAGCGCGATTATTTATGGTATTTGTCGAGCGTTGTTAAATAACTTATATGTTACGCGAGCGTGGTGAGACGCGTCTTAATGATCCCGTTTCTAGACAAACACGGGGAACCGTTCCGGCCCCCGCGAGGCCGCCGACGGTGAAATATTGAAAAAAGAAATATGAAATACGCTTCGGCGTCCTCGCGATACCGCTGAGGACGAAAATTCTTTCGTGAGACCGTTTCATAAATACACTCGCTATTACGCTGTCGAGAGGATCAAAGAGTGTCAGCGTCTGGAACCTCTTGAGCGGTTATTCGACGGAGATTTTGCTAAATTGCCGTCCGCCACTATTGACGTAAGCCAGAAGAACCTCGTTCTTTTAGTCTGACGAATCGCTCTGAATAATTTCTTAAAACTGTGTTAATTATATAATGTATGTACAGATATGCTCGGTTTAATAACAACTGGACTTAACCTTTTTTTTAGGTACCACGTTTTTCACACCTTCATAATGATCATTTTATGACATTTAATTCAGAAATATTTTTATGTAAACTTTACCAAAAAAACATCACATGAAACACCACTTCCAAGGTTTCATAATTAAGTTCATAATAACATAATTGCGTAATTGCAATTTAGCTACAAGTTTTTATTCCATTATACTTCAGTTGTTCCGAGTTTCATATCAGTCCATAGATTCCTCAACCTAATATTTACGGTACTTGGTGTTTACAAAGCGAAGTGATTGCAGGCCCTATAATTTGCCAGGACATCCGTTTTTCGAGGATGAATAATGCGCCTACTAAATTTTTTAACGCTACCTTTCGAATCACCCTGTACGTCCGGGCGGGGCGTGTTAAATCCCTGTTTCGACGTTGCCTACCCCCCGGTTTCATCCCCCTCTCGATACAGAGGGATGAAGATAAATATCGCTCGTGATGAAAATAAAATCCTTGACGTAGGTCCGACGGGGCGAAGCTTTAACCTGTCACCCCCTCCCGGCGGGTGAACCGACCTCTCCGAAAGCGCGTCGACTCGTTCGATATACACAACAACCACCCCCGGTCCCGAGGTTAATGGGAGCGATTTTTACGCGCTGTCTCGTTGTCGCCGGCCCGCCGAACGTGCTTACGCCTCTTTTTTCCACGTTTCCTCGAATGTTCCTCCGTTCTTTTTTTTTTTTTTTGTTACGTTTGTTGCCTAGTCCGTCGCCGGACAACTCGCCGGATACAAGGTTTGTTTTGTTCGGGAGGGTTGTGAATGCGTTGACGGTTGAATAGAATTGTCACGCGGGGGTTGAACTAGGAAGAATCGACTTGAAAAGTGTATAATAGAGAAATTAGGATGTGGACTTGAGCTTTGAAAGCGCGACTTTTCGACCCTGGCTTTGGCCGGATAAAGCTAACTGTATAGAGATTTTAGAGAATTGTGGTATTATACCTTTTATTGGTGCATTCTGGTACACTAAAGTAAATTCTTCAGAAATTATTGTATAACTTTCACAATGTTACCAAAAACTACATTTACTTCAAATGAAATTGTAATTTTCTATTTTATGTCTTTATCAAAGGGAAGAAGGTTGAACATTATTGGAATTACACATGGATTCTATCTGCCTTCAATGACACGTGTCACTATCGATTTGTCATTACTATTATTATGGAGAATGACGTTGCGAATGGAGACTATTGACGGACGGATAATTTGTACAGAAGGGTAATGATTATTTAATTTTCTGTTACAGACTTCCGCCACCCCAACAGCAGGTGACAGTCGGTTCCCTAGGTGGTGGTCTAGGGGCAGCCGCTGGAAATGGTGGCACAGGCACGGTCGGTGCTCAAGGTCAAGCCATGGTAATGCCAGGATTTCCACTTCGTGCGGCAGCGGTCCCACATTATTCACCGTATTCGCCGTCACGTTTTCACATCGACAAACGTTGCCAGCACAGATGCTCCTGGAAATGTTTCTCGATCGCCCTGATCCTCCTCGCTGTTGCGCTGACAGCGATGCTGGCTTACTTCGCTAGTAAGTAGACGCAATATAATGTTGAATTCAAGTAGACAGAACCGGGAGAATTCTTACGGTAATTTTTAGGAAAGGGACATTTTCCTACTCAGAGGATGTGTACAACTTTTCAGATCTATCGAATGAAAATTTACATTAAATTTCTTTAATTATTAATTTCTATTCCAACAAGTGATTTCTAACCTGATCGACTTCTGTATTGAAGTTATTTTGCTTTTTATTGGTAGAAAACTGGATCAAAAAACTGGAAAAGTGTATAGACGCTTTTTAGATGGTAGTGTACGATGGAAATGTTAATGGCTATTTTAAATTGTCGCTGATAAAAGTTGAGTACATTATTATTGAACCGAGTGTAGAATAAGGGCAACCCACACTGATTCGGGATTAGAGATCCCAGTAAACAAATTAATGCGCTCCGTGCCCAGAGGTTCTATTTGTAGATAGCTACTATATCGTGAGTTAGGCAAATCAAAGTTCCGGTGAATTCCGACGACGAGAATTGTACCACCTAACGGAATCTGCAAGTTGATAATGAGTTATTGTACCGTAAATCGCAGATTAACGGGTAGAAGGATTTTCCGGGGGCCGAATACCTGTGAATTATAGTGCAACGCCCGGATAAATAAGAGCTGCGAGCCGCGAATCGGGCATCCACGTAACTAACTACTCATACATAATAGATGAACTGTATTTTGATTTCTGGGCAGTCGAGGCCCATTGATCCCAATTGTATATCTCAATATATTTCAGTGACAATTGATGATTTCTGCTGGATGATGTTTGTATGCATAATTGAGAATTAGAAACACTTGGGGGATCTGAAGTGGATCTCAAGGGAACAGATCCTCGTAAGGATCATCAGGGGCCCCCGAGGGATCACTGTGACCCACTTGTTACATTCCGTTCCCCCACTTCGAATAGAATTTTTACCAATTCTATATTGCAATACTGTTTTTCTCTTGGTAAAAGTTATTTGGAAAAATCAACGAGTCACAAAACACATCATAAGAAAATTTATATTCTTTGTTAATAAAAAATTTCCATTATAATCGTTTACCTGCAAAGTAATAGACAATATTTAAGATTTAATGGAACTCTGTGACAGGAACGGATGTCGTTTGGGTAAAATTGTTTGCATGCCACGCAGTGAACTGAAAAAAGGCCCCGCTGTCGTAATAACAATAGCTTTGTCATTCAATTATCAACTCTGAACGAGAAATTTCGTCACGCTTTTCTGACACTTGAACGAGATAATAACGTGAACTCGATTATCACGAAGAAAGGAAAAGGAAACGCAATTTTACCTACACTTCCCACGCTAAACCGCTACAGTAGCAACGGCTGCGGCCCCCCTCGGGGTTAATGCCCATCGCAGAATAGAGGGATTTTCCTCGAATCGACCTTATAAGCTCCGAGGATCCTAAATTTATTGCCGGTAAAACCTCGCTCTTCTGAATCGTCTGTGTGTTTCAACGTCACAGCCACGCTACCAGACATCTTATTAGCGGACAGTGGCTTGATATCGATTCACGCGAGCTCACCCTTTCTCTTCGTTTCTCTCACCCTTCGCGTGAACGATGCGCCCTGTCCCTAGGTCGATTATTGGCCAAAAGGACTACGCTAGACACTCGATCGTTTGAAAAACATTTAGCCCCATTCGCTTCAAAACCATACAGAGATGCTTCGAAAATCTGTATAATCAGACTTGAAATTATTACGATAAACTGTTTAATATCAATAGAAATTTTGGGAAGAACGGTTATAATGAAAAATTCAAGGGTATGAATTCGTATTAGGATGTCATGGATGACATTACAAATGCAGAACTGTAGATTATCAATGAATGCACGAGGAGAGAATTTTACTCTTTGATGTCACGCACAGTTTAACCAGCACACAATTGTCCCAATTCTTCGCCATGCAACACAGTCGAGGCGCTTCCACGCCATCGACCAGCAATATTTTCACCTCTCCCCTAAACCGGATGGAGGTAACCGCGGCTAAATGAACCATTGCGCTAGTCACGCGTTACGTCGTAGCTGCACTTCCTACCAAAGATCCGGACTTCCGTCGTTAAACGGCATTTAATTTGGGGGTGCACGGCCCGCGGGAGCATCTGTGTCAACCGACTGTCCCCTTCCTGGTGTTTACCCTCGCGTCCCAGCTTAGGAGCGGCGCATCCTCCTCGGATATTTCGCGGCCCGATGATTTTCACTGAGATTTCACGGTGCAAAAAAAGAAAGAAAGAAGAAGAGAAAGCTACGAAACGACGAGTCCTCGTCGTCAGACGTATATCGTCGCTCGACGGTTTTGATGAAAATTTGATGGAGAAAAAAAAGAAAGAACGGCGAAAATTCCGTGGTTTTCATTAAAACTACTCTTTGGCGAAGGAAAAGCTATTAATTTTTAGAGAGTGGACGTAGAAGGAGAATTCAAGTTGGTGGAACTCATTTACAGTAACATTTTTATATTGAAATTGAGTACGTACCGGATATACAACTTACAAAAATTCGTAACAGAAACATTCAGTTGAAATGAAAGTTATTACTTTTTAACCCCATTGAATCTCTCAAATTCCAGTCACATTTATTTTATTTAACATCTGTCCCGAATAATTAGTTTTTTAATTCTGAACTTTTTAGTTCTATCAGGGAATGAAACAGATCTAGATCTGTTTTCAACCCCTATGAATTATTCTACCGTGTTGAGCATGGTATAGGCAAAGGGTTGAAAGAGTAGAAGTGGAGTGGAATTTACAGAGTGACTTACTTTGTCCAGTAACACGAAAATTGGCGAAGAACGACTCGCAAAAACGAACCGGGCACCGATTAGAGAAATTAACGCTCCCTCGTTATCAACGAGAAACAGAGGCCCTGGGGGTTGGCAGCGGTGGTGGTGGCGGGGATGGGCTTGAAATTGTGTTTTTGCATTCAGCCCGAGTCGACAAATCCCCGAATCCGAACGGCGGTCAAGGTCTCCGACGGAGTAGCATTACGGTTTATCTTTCGAAGGCGGAGGGAATAAAGGGGATTTGATGGAAAAGAAGGGTGCCTTTGAGAATGGGGGAGGGCGGGGGAGGGTCGCATTGTCCTACGGATACGTATACGGGGTGAGTCTCATAAAATATAGCCGTCTTTCGTACAGACACGATCGTCTCTGAAATTTATATAGACGGATATACTGTTCGTTTAAAGAACATTTAATTTAGGGGGTAGTTTGCATCGTGAAAAACGCTTGCTTTGTGCACGTGAAAGCATTGAAAGTACACTTTTCCACGCGGGGAAAAAGTGATTGCTTTTTTGCAATTTTTCTTTTTCGATCGAGTACTCTTTTCATTATTTCTGACAGTAACTGGCGCTTTGAAAATATTGATACAATGTCAATCACTGCATAGAGGGTCCTAGCTACCCTCGATTTTTTATTTCGTCGATGAATTTAACATTTGTCTTTCATTGTTCGTAACGGAAGCAACTTCAGACAGCTTTTCTCAGTTAGTTTATAGAACGGTGGACACCATTTTCTATGAATTTAACGCCGCCCCCGTGAAATTATCTACAACGTAACTTTGTACATTTATCACCAACAGTTTCTACATGCAACATGCTACACTGATAACATCTTTATAAAAGCCCATTCGTTTCTCACAATATCAAAACATATCAAGACAACATCAGCTCCATTTTCCTCCCACGCATTCGTTCCTAGCTCGCGATTAATCGTACCCACCTTCCAAAATTATCAATGAACGAAATATCATCCGGCTCAAATCAATTTCCCAACCACACACCTCCAAGTTTCAGACTGTGACAGTCCCGGTCACTCCATAAGTACCACCCCGTATATAACATTCTCCAACCCCGTTCCCCCACCCTTCCCGCCTGTCCCACGAATCCAGCGTGTCTGCATTCTTCTACCACCCACCCCCGTCTAGTCCCTCCCGGCGAGTGTCTGAAAAGCGGAATGAAGAAAAGAGGAGGAGATTGCAAAGCCGGATCGGCCTCGGGGAGACCTTGCCAGCTGTTATTTCTGCATTCCGGTAAATCGACTCGGGAATCCAATCTGCCTGTTTGCTACTGCATCCAAACTACCCTCTTCCACGCTCACGCGCCATCCGTCCCCCGACTCCCAACCCCTTCCCCCACGCTTTCGGTCCCTGGCCCCCGTCGTCGATTCAGACTCATCCAGGGCGGTCGACGTCGCCCGGGCTAGCTCTCTCTGCCGCCGATTTTCAGGCAGATTTCGCATGCACGCGAGCCGCCCGTTGCTTTTCGGTAATTTGATTTATGCGGGCGCTCGCACGCGGGTGTTGCGAACGCGTCCACCGTCTCCGAAATCTTTTCCAGATTCCAGCTTCGTCTCCAAGGGGTTGCGTTTCCTCGACCCCCCCTCGATGTAATTTCCGAGAGCGAAAGCAACAAAAGGCCCTCCTCCTTCTCCCATCGATCGATTCAACTCGCTCGTGTCGACCGTTGGTTTTTCGCCCTCCTTCCCTCGGTTTAAATATCGCCCTCGTTACACCCGCGTCCCTGTTTCCTCGACTATTTGTCCGACGGTACCGGCCGAATGGTCGCTATTAATAATCGTGGATAGATTTTTGTGGCCACGCGCGCTTCTTCCCACGACTCCTCCTCCTCCTCTGGGGAACGATCCGCGACGCGACGTCCCGGAAACACGCTTACCCAACCCCCACCCGTTCGCCCCGCGGAACGTATTGCCCGGTAGTTTCTGGCCATTTTTCTGGCTGTCCGACGCGTGTGTTTCGATTTCTCTTCCGGCGGAAGTTATCGTTGCGGTAATACGCGGGACTCGCTGCCGCCAACCCACGGGAAACTTTGACCGGGCTGGGTTTCGGGAGTGGAGGGGTGTTCGGTGAAGTTATGTGGGTCAGGTTCGGACATTTTCGAAGCTTTATATTTATTGAGGGATTCCGGCTTTTTTGCAAGGTGTAGGTATGTTCAGTTTTGTTCGAGATTATATTATCTGCTTATCAATTTTATTGTGGACGGTTATTGGTACTCTTCCATCTTTGTTTCATATGCGGCAGATTGGTTGTATTTAATTGGCAATGTTTTAGGGTCATCCATCTTTGATTGTCCTTTTTGTGTAGGAAGTTGACAAAAAAAATAAATCCATCTAGTAAGTTACAAGGGGACCACCCAACTGTTCCATCAAAATACCTTGGAAGTAAATCTAATCTTCTTTTACTTCGCAGCATAAGAGAATCTTTCCTTTGAAGTCTCTAATCATTTTGAACCCATAACGGTTTATCCAGACTATATCCGCGACAATAAAACATTCGTTACTCAAGATTTTCTATAGGTAACAATGCTTTCCCCTTCGTACAAGGGGAACAAAAATGTATCCGTAGCGATATTTTGACGGATAAGAACGTGAATCATTCTCGGGAATGAATCGTTCTATCGATCCGAGGGAATATAATTGAAAAAGTTGTTCCTTTGCTCTCGTCGAAACGAGCCTCGCCTGTCGTTCCCAGCCGACTTTACCTTTTCCCCCATCTCGAATCAAATAGAGAATCAAGGTGGTGAAACATGGGCCCTCGATCGCTTCAAATTTCCACTGACTTTATTATTTCTTCCTGGTTTCGTGGTCGATGGCATACAGTGGTATGTACCGATAATATTTCTATCAAAAATTGTGCGAAATAGAGTGAAATAGTGATAGCATCGATTGAACAGAATTTAAGGTGAATAAATTACACCTGATTTGGATTTAATGTTAAGTCGAAGCAGAGAGGAACTGTATCTCGAATCGAGGACAAAACGACGGTTACTTTTGATGCTCCCGAAATGGGGTCATTCGGAGTTCACTGCAACTCGATTTGAACGATGGTTACGTAACTGGCAGCGACAGTCCCCGGGGAATGCTGTTTCTTTTCCAGTTATTTCGCAGTGTCTGCAGGCCGAGTCGATTCCCCGGGTGGCCGCGGGACCTCGCATGCGTGGACGTTTCCACACGGAGTACGGTAATTTGTCCGTCACGGTTGACACGCAGAATCAAAGGGACACGATGGCCGTAATTGCACGTGCACTCTATTGTTGCTGTCGCTTCCTTGCGGAAAAATGCAGCCCCGGTGACGTGTATGGATGAGCTTGATAGGGCAAATGTTGGGGCGCTGAACGATGGGTTCGATGATAAACGGGTACGAAGGGAGGACGATATTGAAGATAAGCTTTATAGTCTTTGAAATGGGGGCAGATTAAAGGCTAATATTAACTTCTCGCGTATTTTCATAAGTTTCTTTTAAATGTGCTACAGTATAAGATTATGATACAGGAAATCGTTCTGCAATCTTTGATAATATCACCAGACTGTATCAACTGGAATCTTCCCACTTTCCTACTTTCTTTTCACTACCATCCCTTTGCATATTAACTGTGAATTCTCCGGGGAAGTTTTTAAATCGGTGGAGTACATAAATTATCGACGTAACTGGAAATTGAAACCTTTAAAATCGCTTTCTCAACAACAGCCGCTTTATTGAACGAAGTTTGTCATAAAGACGTTCCTCCGAAGCGTGAAAGAAGAAGGTGTAAATCCCCAGCAATCCCTGATAGAAGCAAATACTTCCGTACCTCAAATACAATATTTTATTATCCTATTCTTGTTATGGTAAATATTTCATTACGTCTTAGAAATAAAATAAGATACACATGTTAACCGCCTATTACCCCACGCCATAATAACTCAATGCAGAATGTAGGGATGAAAGACATCGAATGAACGGTTCAGTTTATATTAACGTAATGAAGAAGACGGACACGTCAAGTGGAAGGCCTTTCCTCCTTCGTTCATTTATATTAGTGTTTTCCGCGGAAATAAGTGCCAGGGGTCCGTCGAATGAAAACACAGCGATGAATTCTGGAATAAAATCCTTCTTCGCGGGGCCCCCAGGGGGTGGAGGGTTATCGCGGGCTAAATTAATTATCTGTCCCGGTAGCTGTGTCCGCCGCGAATTAATTACGCGGGTTAACGAGAGTTTTTAAAAGCGAAAGCTCGCAATACAACGTGCCTAACGACCTCTTGGCTTATCAACGCACCGATGCTTTCGCGCCGGCTAATTGAATTCGCGCATTATTGCCGCTAGAACGATCTGACAAATAGAGAATCATGCGATGGTCATCAATATTTCATGTTCATTTCCCCTCCCCCATTTTTTTCCTTTTCGCCGTCACACCCTCCACCCCCCTCCGTCCGTTTGATTTATTGCGTCCGCTTTATTGCATTTGTTGTGTTTGTTATCCACGCGACGCAGTCGAACCGTCCAATCGGGAAGCTCGATATCACCGGCGGAAATGGAAATTTGCAATACGAAATTCCTGTATTTCCTTTCCTGGACCGTCCCGATAGCTTCATGGTTTTCCACATTTGTATTCAGAAATGGATTTGCGTACTTTACAACCAATATAAAATTTCCTGTTTACGTTTTCTTAACCATCGTTGTCCTAATACATACACATACGTTCGCTGACCTAACCGAAAACGAAAATTGGCCGAGTAGTTATCGAACAACTCCATATTAATCCGCTTACAAATAACGGAATGAACATGTGAAGCTGATTTTCCAGCAATCATGCATAATTTCCCTTTTGTAAGGAAAATTGACAAAGCAAAGGGATGATTTGTCGTTTAGCTTGGACCGCCAATCTTTTCTGCCACAACTATGACAGAGCTGGATTTACTTTTGTTACGAGCATCTTGTGTATAATTGGTATCCCCGACACATGTCCACGGAAGTAAAATCCCGGGCATAAATATTCATACACGAGCTCGTAACCAACTTTTAACCAACCGTTAACTACCCTATTACCTTCTAGCTGCATGTAAATAACATCAGTTTCTAAAACCTCACGCGGAAAATTGCGTTACACCCACGCGATGACTCGTTTTGTAACTCATACGTTCCCCGTGTAATGAAACTCACCCCCACCGTAGGTACGTGTACACCCCAATGACCCCTCCACGGTTTATAACAAAAATTACGCCGTGGAATATGCACGAGGACCGTTCATAACGAAGATCACGTATGGTTCCGGCGTGCACCAATGAGTGATTTATAACGAGAAATTCCCGATTCGAAATGTCGCTTCGATTTTAACGGCGATTTATAGCGAAAAATTCGTTCCGTCGAATGATCGCGACGAAATTTCATAATGAAAATCATAGAGGCGAATAAGAAACATTTTACGTTCGCAAAATTTGTCAATGGCTGCGGGTATACGCGGGATATAATATAACATTTGCTCCATAAATACATTGCGCGCCCGAAACGTCGGTTTATATGAAAAAAAAAGTCAGTCAGAGAGGGCACACTAGAATCGAAACATCTATCGACATTTCCATCGTTCACTATTTTCACCTCTCGATTCTAGAATTATACTGAACAGCGAACGCTGTTCATCCGTAATATATCAAAAAAAAAAAGAGCGGAAAAAACGAACGTGAAATATCGATGACCGGTGTTGCAATAACCTACGCGTCGCGGTGCCACTTAATCTTCTGTGACTGATGAGCGTTAAGTGTTCCAACATAAATAGTTGAACTACGATGAAATAAAATTGTATATACTTTTAAAGCACGATATTATATTGCCAGGGGATCGTTGCAATAAATATTTACTTTCCATTACAGAATAATGGTTCCCTAAAATTCAAAGGCGTTAGCTAAGTGGCCATTTCAGTGGTTCGTTTCACGGGTCACGCTTGATTACCCGACGCACCCTCCGCGCCCACGAAAATTGTCCACCTTCCTCGCACTCGATATTAAATCGTAGCAGCTTTATACGCCATTGTGGCCGTTCGTTTCGAAGTTACGATTTTTATACACACATGTGTTGACCGCGTTACAAAGACGGGCGCGCAATCAACTCGTTATATTCTTAATGTACGTGGACCGGCGCGCCACTTGAGACAAAATAGCACCGTTACGAGACTCTTTTATTGCGCCAGGAATCAGGAACTGGGGCTTTAGTCGAACGTCCTGGAGCAGTCTAATGGGTTCATAAATTCGAACAATCGCTTTCGAATTACGCCGGGACACTGGGCTCTCCTTCGGCTACGGGGAACGCTGCTAACTTTTCAAGAAAGGCATTCGAATGATAAAGTCCCTGTACCTCTGTTTCTGCATTTAATATACGGCCCTGTCGCGGACGGTAATTGTTCCGTACACGTGGGTGGAGAGGGGAGCGGTCTTAGTGTGGGCAATAGTGGCAGATTCACGTCGTGAATTCGATATTATTATCCTTAGGATAATACAACGTTAGAAATATTGAACGCTAGAGTACTGAAGGAGACTCTATAATTCTTCGTCTGTAAATCTCCATTTCCTGTATTTAATATCTCATGATCGAAAACAATTTTCCATCCATTTACGTTAGCAATATTATACGGTATGCTATATTCCGAACCATGTCTCGGCCCTCCTAGAGAGCTTCTCGAAATGCTCAAGCTACAGGCATACTTTTTCGTAATATATTAATGTAAAATCAAAAAATTCCCCCGATTCAATGATACTCGTGCTCATTGCCAGTCAGTCATGCGACAGCCGTCGTGTTAAACCGTGAATTCTGTTTTCTTTTCAGCAGTGAGCTCCATGCGGCCGATAGACAGCACGAAATGCGTGGTGGTCCAAGATGTCAAGGCTGTCACTCACGAGAACGCGCACGTTCACGACCCGATATCAACGCAAATACCGACCGAAGGTAAATATCGAGCGGTATCAATTTGCATCCACTCTGCATGATGTAAATACTCCCGTGTACGACGTCTCACGGTAATTGCTTTTGGATGGCGTCTGCCACGTTCGAATGGCTTCCTCTGCTCTGACGTCGCGGGCACACCGATACAATGACGGCTACGTGAATAATATCAAACCAAAAATATATACATTGAACATGGAGAATACATGTCTGATATACTTCTAACAGGATCGAAACAATTGCAATTAATTTTAATAGGTACTTTGATCTATCGCTTGAACATGCATACTGATTGTGACTTCAGTTTTTTAGAATCGGAAAATCAAATCTTCATCCGTCGAAAAATATAGCAGCTCGGTACTTATGCATGGAAACTCTCGATAGCATTTCTTGGAATATATTGCAGTATTAATTCTGCAAATCGAGACGCGTAGGGAACTTACGTGGACTCACGTCTGCGTTGGCGTTGTTATGTAGACTATTAGAAATACTGTAGTGGTAAATTAGGCATAATGAAGAACAAACTCGACTGGAAAATGATTATACGTTCCCATCGCTTCGTCTCTCGAAATAATATTAAACCAATAATTAAAGTACATATACACTGTTTTAAATTCATTTAATGCTCCAACGTTGACAACTTCCGGCGATGTGTTCACCTATTACAGAACTTAGAACCGTACCTAGCCCTTAATAAACGCATTTCCTCGTTGCTCAGAGTCGCTGCCCACAAGCACAGCGGAACACTCGAGCGCGTCGGACAGCGCCGGGGACCAACAGAGCGATCCTCAGATCCAGCAGTCCGCGCAACAATGGCCGGCGGTGCTCGAGCTACAAGCTTACAACGTGGCTCACTCGGCCGTCATACCGCCTTACAACTTCTGGAACACCGAGTTCCGTAACAAGCAGCCAGCGTTCATCCGGCTGAACCTGACTCTACCTTGGGGCGCGAACTTCGCCGTGTACGGTAGACGTAACGTCGCGCCGAGCGTCACACAATACGACTTCGTCGAGTTTGTGAAGGGTGGCCGGGTGGACCACAGGCTGAAGAGGGACACCGCCTCGGAGGCGGTCAGCTTCATGAAAACGGCCGCTCAGGACGCTCGGACGAATCGTCGGGTTGCCCGCTCGGTGTCCTCCTATCAACATGTTCTGATCAAACGGACAATCGTCGAGCCGATGATGGTGAACGTTAGTCTGCTACAGTATCTAGACACAGGTCGTTGGTTTCTCTCCGTCTACAACGACGAGCTGCAGCCGTACAAGGTCACTCTGGTCGTCACCGAAGCCGAAGGAGTCTCGACTACCTGCCCGAACGACTGCTCCGGACGAGGATCGTGTTATCTTGGGAAGTGCGACTGTATCGATGGGTATCAGGTGCGTATCCTGGGGTTTCCCCCGTCAAGACGGCCGATGGTCTTTGAACAGTATAGCGAACCCTGTTCTTGTTGGGGTGTTTTAAACTGTTAGGCTTATCTGTGTTAACACTCGACTGAAGGGCGACCCGTGGGGTCCTGTCACTGTTGGGGTGTCTGTAGATAAGTATCGCGTCGAATATAATAGTTGGTAAATGACACCTCGACTACCCTCATAGAACAGGACAGAGGGCTAGGTCCTCCTATTTTATATACAGAAATGAATATTTGATGATGGGCAGGGAAAATATTTCTTGGGAATTTTGTTAGTTCATTTCAAGATAATTTAATAATCGTTTGGAATATATAATACGTACTTGAAGATACGTCTACCGTGACTCGAAGCTATTTCGTCGCGTTGCATTAAGACGGGTCTGTTAAGTTCGTTGGGTTCTGGTACTTTCACGGTACTAAAAGAGAGGAATAGCGTCCTCCCTCCCCCTCTGTGGAAACGTTATCGCTAAAGACGCCCGTCGATCACCTTTATGGCGGAAACGACGCAGATTACGGAAGTACCGATAAAAATTTCAGGGAGCCGACTGCAGCAAGAGCGTGTGCCCGGTCCTCTGCTCCTCCCACGGACAATACGGCGGCGGTATGTGTCACTGCGAGGACGGCTGGAAAGGTGCCGAATGCGACATACCATTAGGCGACTGCCAAGTTCCTGATTGCAATCAACACGGACAGTGCGTTAGGGGATCGTGCGTGTGTAATCCTGGATGGAAGGGCGACTTCTGCGATGAACGTAAGTCAATCTCTCTGAGTTCTAATTCCTTGGACGATACTTACAATTATCTACTGTCCATAATCATTGATTCGAGTAGAATAGATCTTAGTAGAACGTAATCTTTTCGTACAATTGATGAATATATATAATTGAAGTAGTAAACAGGCAAAAACTTCTGTCGAGAAGTAACACGAAAATCAAAAACACTGCTTGCCCTCGTCATTCCTTCCTCGACAGACCTAAATGAATAACATGTGGTGAGTGCAATACGAAGAACCATCACGCTTCATTATTCAATTCCCACGAGTCCTGTCGACGCGATGAAAAAAACAAATGAAGATTAATTGAGACTGCAAGGGACGCGAAGAACGATAGAGACACGGATTTCAAATGCGTCTTTAAACGCAGCAGATGATCCAGCATCGGTTCATTAACAGGGACATTGTATCCAGAGCGTACCAGACGCTGCGCAATAATTTAACCGTTAAAAATGACCAGCGGAAACACGGCTCGCCCGGAACGTTTACCTCCGACTGGTCTATTTCTGCGTCGGATGTTGTTTCTTCATATTTGTCACGGCGCCATTAATTTACCCCGTAATTCAACCGTACGTCCTGAAACCCCCCTCTCGATCCGGAGAGATTCAAGATATTAGTAATGCACGCTCCCTATTCCCGGCGAACATAGCCTGCCTGTTCCCATAATTAATGCACGAACAGGCACCCGTGAATTTCCATACGGGTTAAAATCTACCGATTCCACTAGACGATTGTTTCGGAAAAGAAAAAGGATCGATTGATTGCATTCACGAAAATTGACAGACCCTTGTCTTTCGTAAATCAAAACAACTGTAGCTTAGAACTGTGGATTTTAAAAACATGTTCATTACATATCTATTAACTAGAATTCGTTAAAATTTTACGAAATTTACCGTTTCGATGCAGAAAGTTACCTTTCTGTACCAAATACCATACAGTGTTTTTCGTATCTACTTAATCGGAATGGATCTCGGTGTTAGTGATTCAAATTTGCGTAGAATTTCTAAAAGGAAGAGTCACAACAAACAATCATTCATAAAAATATGTCGAGAGTAGCACTATCAATCTACCGGTTCGCGGACCAGCAGAAAAATGACGTTCGAAATGAATGGCGAAATTATTCGCGGAGAACGCGCGACACTTTGTCTATGACATCTTCACCGCTACGTCGTAACGCGTTCGTCCCTTTCATTTTTCTGAGAACGAGGCGGCCAGTATTCGTTTCGCATTAGCGACACCGTGACTGCTGGTTCTGCGGTTGAGGGCGTATTTCTTTGGCGATCGGGTCGTTTAAAGGGGAGTGAAAGAGAAAACCCTCGATATTAAAATGAAATGTCGGGCTCATTTGTCGAACTTCACCCCTGCCTGCTTCTTCAAAACGTTCTTAAGCTCGATATCCGCTTGAGTGCAGTATATGCTCAAATGTGTTGGATGAAAAATCTCATACTTTTTATTTTTTTTACTGTTTTGTTACTGTATAGAGTAGGGGAGACCGGGCAGATTGTAAGAAAAAAAGTTTTCACAATTTTTTCTCAAAAGTGTTTTCCTCAATCAGGAAATAATCTGATTACCGAAATGCGTACATATTATAATGAACCAATGTGTAACGATTCGTTTGCGACAAAGAAGCAAAAATTCAAACGGTTTCTGATGGTGGTTAATTGAAATAAAAGTGCTAGGACGACATTTACTTACGTGCTCCAAATAAAAATTTAACCTGTAGCTACAAAACAGACACTTGACGATCGATTGTTGCAATAAAACTGACGATATCAATATTTTCAAACGGCTCTGGCATCCTGCTGCGTTGCCAAATTTGTCGTTCAGAAAATTATAACTATGTTACAACTTATCTGCCCTAGTCTCCTCTACAGCGCGCCTTCCTCCGCGATATTATTTAAAATCGGTTGCGCCACTCAAGGGAATATTGTTCGAACTTTTCAATCACGAGCCCGCGTTCTAGTCGCGAAAAATCTCTTAGCCGACAACACCCCCGTGCGCGCCACACGTAAGAACACAGTAATATATTACAAAAATTCCGATCGCGGATCGATAGGACCCCTGCGTTCCCGTGGCTCTAATAAAAACCCAGCGAACCGGGCGATCCACCGTTCGACGAACGTGCCGCATCCGTAACGGGCAAAGAATCCACGAGGAATTTCCCTCATCTCCGGGCGAACGAACGTCGTGCAACCGTGTATACATATAACCGGTCCCGCGCGGTACCGATGCGTCGCGTCGCAGCGGATGGCACCACGCGACCCGCGTCGCCGGGACGCTTTGGAATTAAGTTTCATAATTTCCCCGGGGCAGCTGGGATCCGCGGGAATAATGCAATTGTTCCGATGCCATAATTTAAAAAGTTGGCCCATTCGTCGGCGCCCAGGGCGCAATCACCGGCGTCCGCCCCCTCTCTTTCTGTCTTTCTCTCTCTCTCTCTCTCTCTCTCTCTCTCTCTCTCTGGACGACGTCTTCCGAGACATCTTGAAAACAACCTTAACAAAGAAGCCGCCTACGCTATCCGAGGGTTGTGGGGTTGTCGGTGAAAGGGGAACGAACTTTTTGATCGGTAGATTAGTATGGTAACGATAGGTGCTATCTGTTAACGCGGTTATAGACAGTATTAACAATATAATTGTGAAATACCTGATGATCCATTGAACGTTCTCACCCCTATTATTTACGCTGGCAATGAACTCGATATGTCAGGTAGTACAATAAATCATCGATGAAAGTTTCGTGGAACCAGTGGTGGGATGACTTTTGAATACACAGTACCGAGGAGTGTAGAACAAAAATGTCTCTTAGTGGTTCATAGTTCGAGATTAGCGTCGTGTAACCAGCGAGGTTACACA